TCTATCAGGACATTAATACACAAATATTAACGCTTGAAGTGATTGTGGATTTGGTCTGTATTTTATGCTAATTATACTATTAATCACTTGATATATCATATACTGTACATTAAATCTGCTTGATAATTACATTAGAAAGCTGACAGCTAGTAGGTGTTAGCCTAACTAACTTATCATTTAACCTTGTCACGCTTAAATGTTAGGGCTGGTTAGGTTTTACTAAACAATGGGGACGGGTATGAAAAGTATTCACTAAACTCTTAATACCTGATAAGTATTGGACGGATGCTGGCTTGCGATGGAATCCCTCCGACTTTGGTGGACAGACCCAACTGGTTGTCTCGTCGGACATCATATGGATGCCATACATACATGTGATCAATGGGCCCGACATATTGAGTACCAGGTCAATTCAAAAGTCGTCGACTGTATATATCGTGGCCTCCGGTGCCGTCGAGTATTGGCCGAAAACACAGCTCAGGAGTTACTGCGAGACGGATCTGACGGACTACCCGTCCGATCGGCACACTTGTCAAGTGGCTGTCGGTACTTATTATAGGGATAAATATGTGGATATCTATCATTACGACGATCTCACTGGTACTGACCAGGATACTTACCTGGCAGCTAATACAGTGAAACATGTGAACCCGGAGTGGGAATTCATATCAGCTAAAGGTATGAGTTTTGGGAGTGATGTCTGAGATGTTAAAACTAAATACAGAAAATTTGTATAGATTTCATTAACTTTTCATTAACTCGTTTAGCAAGTTCATTTTTCTATTTAAATTATCAGGCAAGTAGTTGTAACATTATGTTATAATGTTAAGTTAAGTAATGAATGTGTATAATAATTTTATTAGTTATAATAATTTAATCAACCTTATTTTCAAACTTAAACATTTAACTAAATAAGTTTTAACATTATATTTAAAATTTAAAGTTTTTCTATGATTTAAATGTAGATTTTATTATCCAGGACAACGATATGATCAAAGTGATTCCGAAAGTGACTTTTTCACAGTAGTTATCTATTCAGTGACTTTACAGCGAAAGCAATCGCTTTTGTATTACTTCATCACAACACCGATAATAGTGGCGATCATTATATCCATAGTCGCCATCACTTTCCCCCCAAACTCTGTCAAAAGATACCGATTAATAGGACTGTCGGTAACCATACTCTTTGTTATACTGGTATTCATTGCCAACAAAATTGCATTCAAAGTCAATACAGACGTCCCACGGATTGGTAAGCATTTCAAATAAATTATGTCATTTTATATGAAATTGTACAAAGTTTGATAAGTTTATAAGTCATGAACTATAGTATATTTTTACTTTATCTATCTTGAATAAATAATGTATATTATTAGAAATGCATGTAATATTTTACTTATTTATAATTTATTTTAGCATTAAATTTTTTTATTATTTTCAATTAGTACGCAAAATATCAATAAATATGGTGTTTATCTCAATGATGACAATGTGTTCAGTAGTGATGAACAGATTATTTGCGATGACATCACCATTACATCCAATGGTATCAGTGGTACTCAACAACCCATTCATTGGTGTCATAG